TGCTTGCTGGAGTACTGCTGCAACACAAGAAGTGTGTTGTCTTGCTGATACCTGCTGAGCCACGCTTACTGCTGGCCTTCATCCCACAACGGTGAAGAACAGCAGGTCAGAGGTGTTTGATTTGCTCTGAAAAAGGCTGGCGTGTCCCTTGTATTTGGGCGGGGGGCCTGGTTTTAAGCAGTGAGGTGCTCAGCATTTTTGCGAGTGGGGCAATAGTGTACAAATGCTGGGAGGCAGGAATGAGGGCTCTGAAGGAAGGCATGTGCCTCGAGATGAGGCAGAAGCCAGCTGGTACTTTTTGGAAAGTGAAATCAGAGCCTAGGGTGCTTATGGTTGGTGGGTTCAGCGTTCAGGCTCAGAGTTTGTACAGAGGTCTGCCACAGCTGGTGCAAAAGCAGCAGGGTTTTTAACCATACACAGAAATACTGCTGCTTTTTTTTGATAGGCAGCTCTTTTCCTAGGTGGTAACAGCATGCCCCAACATGGGGTAAAAGGGGTAAAACCAAGGCCTGTCCCCAGCACATTGCATCCACTCCAAGGGACCAAGTGCTCCAGATACATTCCCTCTAAAATTCTGCACAAGCAAATCCTCGAATGTAAAAAGCGACCCATACCGCTCTGAAGGCCAGCACCAGCTATCTTCCTGGATAACCTGGGTCAGTGAATTCTCCTTAATTTTGAGTTGCAGCTCAAAAGTTGAATTGCTTTTGAGTAAGCAGTCCACTCTCCTAAAAGTTCCCTGCCTCAATAACCCCCTATGGCAGTCAGAGCATCAGGATGGAGAGAGCTCTGTCTGTCCCAGACTGCCTCATTCACCTCTTGAAGAACACGTGGCTTTGCTGACAGTACTGGAACAAGAGCCAAAAGAATGAATATTCCTCATTTCTTTGTTGCCATTTTAAAAGCGGATAACCATTTAATTAGTTGTTCACCCTCCAGGGCTGTAAGTTCTTGTATAATTAGATAATGAGCAATTATCATTACAGTGTTTTGTTCTCACGTGGTACTACGTGGGTGCCAGCACTGACCATGTTTCAAAGGCTTGTGTTCCAGGTTATTACCCAGTAACGCTACCAGCACCCTCTTTACAAGAAGACTTTCTTAGAGGGGACAACCTACCAGTATTACAGGTGCTAATATAAATCCCACCTGCTCCTACTAGACTTGCCCCAGGGTAGTTTAAAGTAGCCTTGATGCCTACTGCAATGGGAAAGGCCTAAAATAGACCGAGATGATGTGGTTGGGTGCTTCCCGAAATACTGTCTTTCATGTCCTTAATGCCACCCTTGCCTTTTCTGCTTTGGCAGGGAAAGCCAACATCAGGGTTACGCACACAGTGGTTTAGAACAGAAAGTTACTGGACAACACGAAGGTTTAGGTTTGGAGGAGCCCCCAGAAGTGCTGCTGTGCTAAGAAAAGCACCTGATGCAAGTCAGGACTTACAAGATGTACTCATGTTGAGGTCAGCAACCGGCAATTAATTAATTCATTAAAATACCTGGAGAGATCCAAAATGGGCACATGGTGGGAACATGCGTGCAAGAGGAGGATCTTGAAACCACTTAAGCTTTAGGGCGAACGAAAAACAGATGGGAGATGGGTGTGGTGATGAAAAGGTGTAGGCAAGGGGCCCATATCTGTCATTATTCCTGCAGCTACAGTTTAATTACCTTTCCTAGGCTTCAGGGAACAGAGATTCTTTTTTTTTTAAAGAAAGGTATAGGAAGGAACACAAGTTCTGCAGTTGAAAGATGCCCCTTAGCATCATCCCAAGTCTCTGCTAAGACTCTTAATATGCCTTACTCATCACCCAGAATAGAAACTGTTTCCATAATCTTCAACCTTAAGGAATGGCGTTCAAAAGGAAAAAAATAAAATAAAATCGGGAAGCAAAGCCCCACTTTTCCTCTGCTCCCTGAACTTCTCTTTGTTTCAGCAGCACCAGAACAGAACTCGGCATGATGCACAAGGAAGGCAAGAAGCCCTTCTCCAGCTGTCTGGGTGATAAGCAGAGGTGCAGTTGTTAACTGTGACAATAGGCTGCAACAACAGGTTACAGGAAGGTAAACTATTTACCTGGAGGATGTTTCTTAAAGCTGATCTTAAACTTGCAATATAGTGAAGGCAAGAGGCAAAAAATCAGCAGCTGACTCTGAATGGAAGACGTTTTTTTTTTTCCTTGAGGCCTATAATGGCAAAGTGACAGTGACTTACACCACCAGGAGAACAAACCAACCCATTAGAGAGGAACGAGTATCACATGGCAGGGCTCAAATAAAGCAAAATTTTAGTTTAGATTTTAGTACTTGCTAAAAAGGTCCAAATGAAATTTTTCTAACACCATTCTCCTGGTTGCTAGAACACAGGAAGATTGGATTTAAAATTAAAAAAAAAAAATCAAAACAAACAACAACAAATCATCAAAACTTGATTTTTCACAGTACTGAAACAGCTAATGAAGCTTGTTTGTGGAAAATAGATGAAGTGCCCGCAGGGAGGAATTCACTATTGAAAAAGTTGACTAGCGAACATCGCCTGAGCTTTTCCACACAAAAGCCACGACAGGCAAAGCAAGCCAAAGGGGAGGAGTGGGGAACACGAATTATTAGCGAGCAGAGATAAAGCCTGATTATTTTTTTTTCCCCCCTAAGAATGCACAGTGATGGAATAAAGATTTGGGAGTTGTTTTTTTTTCCTATTAAAATCCTGTCTACCTGTATCAAAGACAGCATGTGTTTGACCAGCCACTGAGACAGATGCACCCAGCACCAAACAGCACTTGCTGGTTCATTCTAAAAACCAAAGCCATCCTCCCTACTGGGGAAGGGTACCTAGGGAACATATGTACAGAACAGCATGTACGATAAGCTGGGGTGAAGAGGCTGGTTGAGCTCGTTTCAAAAGCCAGATAAACGCATCATGACTAGTGGGCCAGCCACTAATCCACACAGCAAGTTAAGAATTGCAAAATTTCAGGTGCAAGAGCTGCTTCAAACCAGTGCACCTTTCCAAGTGCTACACGTTAACCTCTCAGTACAGTTGTTCTATCAGTTGAAATGAGAGATGCAGGTGAAGCAGCACATGAGCTCACAATGCCAAGGAGACTTTTCCTAAACAGAGCATCATTATGTGGCTTCTGAACTTAGCCAGGGATGCTGATGCCCATGCAAGTTGAGGGCTCTTCCCATTTTGCAGTACCAAGCACAGAGCTCGAGCTAGAAAAGATTCCTGTCCACAGATAAGGAAAACTAGGATGGAGGGAGTGGAGTCTTGACTACAGAATAGAGTAGGGGTGTTTTTCTCACTCTACGACATCAATCCATAGGGAATGTGTTATTTTGTCATGTCAGATTTCCTCAGCATAAGCAGCTCATGATAGTTTTGTGATGGAAGTTAAGTTAGAGAAAAACTGACAGAACTGTGATTTCCCAAAGGAAACAAAGCAAACATAATCTACTTTGAAAAAAATCTGATTTTATTTTTGAATTGAAAAGACCTGTCAATTTAAATAGATGTTTATTTCCATTCACGGTCTCAACCAGTGCTGTGTGTTAACATTATTCAGAACTGTATAAAAAGCCATTTGTGTTACATCGGTTAACATCCTAGAACACTGGGGGGGGAGGTTTGAAGCAGCTTGACATTAGAAATAGGATGTTCCCAAAAAACTTACAACTGATGCAGCATCTTCTATTCTAATTTGATAGGAGCTGAAGCATATCGCAAATACAACTCAAGTTATTTGGTCTTAAAAAAACCCAACAAACAACTTGAAAACCAGATTCCTTTCATAGCAATATTGAAGCTGTCAGCTGAGAGAACACACACATACACTCCCATGTGCGCAAACACACACACGGAGAACCACACTGAGCACAACCAGAATGCTTCATTCCGTATTTGGATTACGTATGCGTTCTTCTGACTCCATGATAGCTGTAATTTAAAATGCTAGTTGCCTTTTTTTTTAATCTATACATGGTTTCTATGGAAACCCAAGATTCTGCACAATCAACTGACATTTATTCTCATGGTGCTGCTGTGAAGTTCTCTGGTGAAAGGGCCAAATTCCAAAACCTTTACTCAAACATGCACATACTTAACTTAAGCCAATGAACAGGGGAGAAGATGGTTTAGAAAAGGGGTAGCAGGGTCAAGGTCTAGATTTGAAAAATCACATGACAGATTGTCATTCAAAAAAGGTTTTTAAGTCATTCTTTGGTTTATTTCCATGATTCTCAACACTGTCCGAAAAGCCCGGAGACAGTCACATGAGGAACCATAGCTCTAAAGCAAGCCCACAGCATTCTTAAATCTTGTGTATTAAATGTTCAGAAGACTACAGGAATCCAGAGTACTCCTTACATTCACGTCCCCAAAAATCTAGTAACTGCTTAAGTGCATGCACTGAGGCACGGCCGGCATGCCTGTAAGTTCATATTGTTCAAGTTAAGAGTAAATATAGCTGCAAAAAACCCCACCCACCTATAATTAAATGGTCATTACTAGCAATACTATAGCGACTGTCTTGTTATTAAAGAAACGCAGACATGGTTTCTGCCTCTTTAGGTCACTCAGCCAAAAGGAAGCTGTCTGCTTAATTTAGAAAGAAAGCAAATTTTAAGAGTCCAAGGGAGTTTAATATTTCCATGTTCCTGGGGTCAATTATTAATGTAAAGATGTAGACAAATGGCAAGTCTATGAAAGCGTATCTCGTACATTCCAAGGTTTGGAAGTCAAAAGCAGAACTCAACTTCCTTACACTTAAATGTTATGGTAGGCTTGGAAAACCAGTAAGAAGTGATACAGTATTTCCATGAAAAGCAAGGTAGAACTAAGTCTAACTGGCATTTGTATGCAAGCAGTTTTTGCTATGCTTTTTGTAAGGCAGATTTTATTGCAAAGATAGTTACCAGTCTGCTAGTAGGAAAAAAAAAAAATGCAGGCAACTATACTCAGAGAAGATGGCTGATAATTACTAGTGACAAATTCCATTTTTCAGAACAACTCAGCTTTAATGTACTTTCTGGAAACAGCATTTTAATCACTGGTTTTCACTTCCTTCCCCATCACACGTTAAGTATCAAAAAACAAGACTGGACAAAATGAATTGTGAATATTTACCAAACAACAACATCTCATATTCCAATGTTATTTTTAACTGGAACAAATATAGGTCATTCTTTATAACCTACTGCCAGTGGTTGTTTATAAATATCTGCTTGCTGCAATAAACACTGGTCATTGAAATATTCATTTGCAATAACTACTTGGCACTAGGTTAATATACTTGTAAAGTTTAATGGAAGTGCTTCTGGTGTACATATAAGCACCTAAAACATGACTTTTAAAACTTAGTTTGGGGGGGTTTAATATCTACAGTTACAGTTTTCACAAGCATTTCTGAAAGTATTAAAATCTCTTCAGAAGTTTAGAGGCTCCTGTCTCAGCACATCTAAGTTTCTCAACAATTACAGAACAGCTAATTTAACATTCTTGCTCCCTATGCTGAGACAACAGGGTACCAAAATTCAGCTATAAAAAGAGGCATTTTTGGTCAGACTGACCCCCAGCTGTCCCTTAACAGAAAAGCAACACAGCTCAAACCTGTCTCCTCCCTCCAGAAAAAGACACCTAAGGCCACAAATTTACATTTGCCAGAATACCAGGTGTTTCTCCGTTTGTGGCAACTGTGTATATGCCCACTTAGAGAACTACAGTATGAAAGCCCCATCACCACCTTTAAGGATAAATCACCTCAGAAGCCAGTTTAGGCAGCAGTGCATATGGAACCACGTTACATCGAAACAGCGTGTTAAAGCCATTCCAGCTAGGTAAAACTAGTTTCTAACAATGTTTAATCAAAATTCCTAATTGCAGGAAAGGAAAAAAAAAAATACCACCTTAATGTAGAGAGAGGCAAAACGATGCAAAGATAACCACCACAATGATCCAATAGCAAAAGCTCCTGTTTAAAGGTTTTCTTATGCTAAAAAAGGCACACAACCCCGTGTGAACTAGAGACAAAAGCTAGCAGTACTACAGCAATAAACCCAGAAGAAAAAGCCTACCAGAATTACCCAATTGCCTACTGGGAAGGAACAATGAAGTAGACAGGCTGCTCTTGCTCTGTTTTGTTTGCAGGGAAGTGGTCAAATTTAATAGTCAAATTTAGCCACATTAAGAAACGTTTAACAAAAGCTACCCCAAGAAACCAGAACAAAACCTGACCTTTGGGTCAAAAGGCCACAGACAGGCCTTTCCATAGCATGTAGCTGAGTGAGTTCAGAGATTGGCAATGAAAGGAAAAAAAAAAAAGCTTTAGACATGTGATGGGAACAAGCTTTGGGATTTATCGAACAGTCACACCAAGCTTCTCCAGCACACGCACTCCCTTTTCTTGGTATTCTTGTCGGGTCATCCAGAAGTTGTCTTTGTCTTTCATGATGTCTGCTAGAACCGCACCACCCAAAAAGACCATGTGCTTTCGACGAGGTGGATCTTCAATTCGGATCTTAAATTTCTAAGAAAAAGACAAGAAACTGTTACTAAGGTTCTTGAAATAAAGCCTTTCAAAATAAAATTGTGCTTTCCACCAGAACAATGAAATGGAAACTGTTTAGTGAGAAAAATGCAACCGAAAAACTGAAACGCCAGCATAGGGCACTCTGCGTGAGCTTCCAGCTTGCGCAACCAAAGTAAAATAACTACTTTGTACTGCAAATTAGAGACAGCTATTGACACTTTCCACAAAATTATACTTTGAGTGTATCCACAAAAAGCTCAGGACTCAGAATACAAAATTAAAGCTCATATTTTTGCAATTCATGAACACGGTAAAGAGCGAAATACTTCCTAAGCTTCGATGGCTAAAATTATCAGAAGTTACCACATCATGAAATCACAAAACATTTTAGAATTGTACCAAGTTTTAGAAGGGCAGATGGAACAAATTTTAAATTTACACAATCTAGACCAGCTTAACTAATTAATATTCCCTTAAATTTTTTGATGCTAAAGCTCTAACTTCAAGAGCAAAAATGAGTACAGCCAAAGCTACGTGTGAAATACTGCTTCAGATTTAAAACATTCTGTACAATGGAGTCATTCCATATAGCTGCAAAAGAGCCTTAGAGAACACCGTGTTAAGAAGCAGGGAAGTTCAACAATTCAGTTCAACATTAGAAACTCCACTCAAAGGAATTTTCTCTGTAAATATCTCCTCCTTGAAAAGCAGACAGCATTACAATGCAGTGTTACCTCTGTCTCTGCAGCGTGTGTGTGGCTCTTGTCTGCTTATCACAGTAACCAGTGAAGGAGGGAAATTTATTCCACTTGAAGGTGTGTGAGAACTCTAGCTTCTTACTTTTCAGTATTTCACTTATAACACAAAGCAAAACTTTCAAAGATAAAAAAATCGTTTTGCACAATGATGACTTTAAGGCTCAAAAATTCATTAGCTTCATTAAACCTACATTATGAGTTGTGCCCTAGCATTTAACAGCCCATTTAACATGTGAACTAACCAAAGACTTCAGAAATTACTTGCTATTAGCACGGACTAGAAGGTGGCTTTATTGCAAGTACACACGTACAAGCCGCCTAGATGAAACGCAGAGGTGTGAAGAAGAGAGAGGGAGCAATTTTGCCAGTTGCTTCTGTCATTTCTGACTACTTGGTTCCCTCTAGTGGGGATTCAGGAGAAACCTCGGCTCCACACAAACAAAATAGCAATTCGGCACCTACCGAGAGTTTTTCCACATCTCCTTTCAGAACTCGTTCCAGGTAGAGCTGTTTAAGTTCCCGCTCCAGTCGCGAAGGCAGCCCGGGGTACATGGTGGACCCTCCAGACAGCACAATGTGCTTGTAGAATTCAGACCTGACCAAGAAAATAGTCTTTCTGTTGTCGTATTGTATACTCTGTAGTACAAGTAGGTACCTGTACGTACAGGGGAGCAAATACAAATCTAAAAAACGGTCATTACACAAACACAGCTTTCGTGTGAGTTTGGCAGACTTGCTCATGGTTTTCCAGGTGTCCCAGATTTTATCCTTGCTCATTCATATCAAAATAGTCACGCTTCCAGACAACCCGTTAAGCTCCAAGATCTCAGATTATCTGTGTCCCACTCCCAGCACACACCCTTCCCGCAGCAGTGTCTAAAGCAAAAGATGTTATTTCGTTTGGACGCTGTTCTCTCGACACCCTGCACCCTGACAGAGGAGTTTCTGCACTTACCTGGTATCAATGTCAGCGGCCTGGATGGTGTTAAACAGCAATTCAGCCACACCAACCCCCTCTACATTGATTAAGTGAGGCTGGAAGAGAGCCTCTGGTGCCTCAAACCGTTCTCCGCCGACTTTGATAATCCTGCCATCTGGGAGCTGGCAAAGAAAAAAACACCGTTTAGAAGACTACTTTTAGCCACTTAGATAATAAACAAACCAAGAGGAAATGACCTACGTTATTCCCTAATGTTTCAAAACAGGAAATTGTTGATAATTGTCACCACTGCAAGAAGTCATTCGGTACTACTGAAGGATACGAATTTTTCAGTCATTGCGCAATTTAAGCTTAGAGACACCAGGGACCAGATACATCGGTACTGACGTACCCAACATTTCCTTGCAATACAGCTCCTAATATTGGTTTAAAAGATGATCTTACAGCAAAGAGTAATGCTTTCCTACAAGTTCTTTTCTTCCATGTGTGATCACAGGAAGTTCCCACTAAAAGCAAGCTTACCATTCTTGTCACCAGATATGAGCCTCATATGTGCCACTTCTGGATGGACGAGGCTGAAACAATCTGACATACTAGATTAAGTACAGTTTCTCTACAAGTTCCTGTACTATAATATTGAAATTTTAAGGATCTGCAACGACAAAAGTGAGTACAAAGTCTTACAGAAGATCTGAAAAGGAAAAAGCTTTAAGAAGTTTTCCCAGAACCAAGTAATCTGATTCTACGGACTCCTACGTCTGAGAAAAATTTAGAAGGAACTAAAGCTACCTGATTTAAACTTATGAAGCTTAGGACAAGAAAAGCTGTCTCAAAAACACTCACCGTATAGGATTCAACTAGTACTGTGGTCTCTAATGCCAGTTTCTGCTCCTGTTCGATGTTGTATCCCACGTAACACAGCTTTTCCTTGATCATGCGAACAGTCTCAAAATCAGCAGAATGGTTGAAAGCATACCCTCGCAGTAAGAGGAGCTAGAGGGAACACATCAGGGTAGCAGTAAACGAGAGGAACGATCCAGATCTCTCTATCAATAGGTGGGTACATTCAGACACATATCTTTAAAAGTTTGTCTCCTTTTTTTAACTGCAAATTTACTACTAAGTCAAATCTGTCACAGCATACCCATTATTTTCTAGAAAAGTAGAACAGCAGCAGTATTAATCCAAGTGGAAAATTTTCTTCGTGGTTACAACTTTCAGTATAACTGTTACAAACACAAGTAAAGATAACCAAAATAATTCTTATATTTAGGGCTTCATTTCAGAACACACTGATATTCCAGTTTAACCACAAGATTTGTCAATCCAGAATGTCGCTTATATTTAAAAAAAAAACCCAACAAACAAATAGTCTATAAAACATACTGTCTTGTTTAATAATCAGATAAGAATCACTACACTATTTTCCACACTGTAAGAAAAAGTCTTTCTGAAAATAGACAAGTAGAACTCATAGAACACAATTTTGTTTTCATTTTGTATATCAAGAAAGCCAATTTTGAGTTTTTCCTTCCCAAATATGAAATAAAATCACTTCCTACAAGATTACCACTAAGAAAATCTGAAGCCTCTGAATAGTATCAATAATATCAGATGTGATTTAGATGAGGAAACATAATAACGACAGACTGAAGCAATACAGAGAATACAAGAGTTCTCTATGCAATTAACACATGAACAGTACAGGAAAAACATGCACTGGTTTCTTGCTATCAAGGGATTTTGACTTGAACCAATGTACCATAGATACCAGCCTCAACCTTAACAATTCTTTCCAGCTTACCTTAATGAGGTACCTAGTGATATCCCTCCCAGCGATATCTAACCGTCTGGTGAGATGAGGGAGAGAGAAGCCTTCATAAACTGGACAAATATGAGTTACACCATCTCCAGAGTCCACAACAACACCAGTCAACAAACCTAAAAGAATGGGGGCGCAGGGGAAGGGGAAAAAACAGGTGCAACTTTTAGTAGCATCTTCATAAATAGAGCAGAATAGTAGCTTGTTTCATCATAATCTTAACATAACTTCTGTTCCCTCAGTCATGGTTTTGGAAGTAGTCATCACAGTTTAAAATTCAGTCATTTCCACTCAGCTGGGTTTTAAACTTACGGTTTTCATAGTAACAAATGCTTTCATATGCGTTTCTCACAAGTATTATCTCTACTTCTTCCTAGATGCCTCTAACTCTACCATTCACAATTTTATCTGGTATTTCGACATCTTAAATTGCACTCTAATGAAAGAGAAGATCTAAGATCATTAAATGCTTGTTGGGGCACAAAGTCCTCAGATTAAGCTCTATATGTGTAACTTTATATTATCTTCTCAAATATGAAGAAACCTACAGGTCTTCAGGCCACGAGTTAACCCTGTTACAATTATTAGAACTTGTTGATTTTGGTTGGTATTCAAGTTAGAGAATATTTGGACTATACAGCACACATCTATTTTTCTTCCCCACAGAAACAGTGTTAAGGCTGAATCAGATCCACTTTCATAGACTGAAGAAATTAACTCTGATGAAAAAAATTTACCATAAAACTATTAAATTCTAAGGTGTACAAAAGTGAGATATAAGCATGTAGAGGCAGAAGTTTCTACACTTCACTAACAAAATAAATTAGAAGTGGAATTAATGGTGAAAGTTGATTAGAAAACAGTTTTAGTTTCTCACAAGCTACCTCAAGCAAGATGAGACCTTAAAATAATGAAGGAACATATAATATATAATGGCAAGGTGCATTCCCCATCTCTGGAAGTGTTCAAGGCCAGGTTGGATGAGGCTTTGAGCAACCTGGTGTAGTGGAGGATGCTGCCCATGGCAGGGGAGTTGGAACTAGATGATCTTTGAGGTCTCTTCCAACCCTAACCATTCTATGATTGGTTTGGCTACTGTAACTTGCTCAAGCTTTGTAAACAGAAGGCAAACAAACTGGTGATTTGCCCTGAATGAACCAAAGAACACACCTTGGTTCAGTTGTGTGATCAGATCTCCAGATTTATCAGTGAACTGGAATAACCGCTATGCAAACACGAGTCTTGCAATTGGACACATGCAGAAAGGAAGGAAACAGTCAGTCACAAGGGACTACACCTAACTCCAAAAGACTGTTGTGAGGAATTTCCTAATTACAACTAGGTTTTGATATATAAACCCCTTTGCCTTTAAAAAGCACACGAGCAAACAGAACTCCAGGTAAAAGCAACAATTAGTCTTAAGAGAATTTTAACAGCAGCAACAAAACGTGGTGCATTGAGATGAGGCATGTCTCTCTCTGTATGCAATTTTAGCCACCACTTTAATTTTTAATGTGATATAAATAAAGTAGGATGTTTTAAAGGGCTGCTTTTTATTTTCAAAAGCAAGTGTTCTATTTATGTGCCACTTGTTTTTGATCTCTTAGAAGGTCTTCAACTTTGTTTTAGATGATAGTACATAGAAACACCATGGACTGCTCTAAGTTGTTTCATTTGTTATTCACAATGTAATTGAGTACTATACAGTAGAATTTAAGACTGTATATGTTAGTCAATTACATACTTACAAGGAATCAAACCAAAGAAAAGCAAGGAGGGGGGAGAAAAAAGAGTAATAGCACAGACCACAGCAAATAAAATTAACATCCACGTCTGCAAAAGTGGTTTTGGTTCAACTAGTTTTAATGACTTGCATAACAGAACCACTCTTCCAGTACCCCATCACTTTTGCTCTTGGACATAGAGACTATGGTGACATGTTAATGGATAAGGATATTTATGTCCTGTTAAGTGACAGCTAAATACACCAAGCCAGTAGTAAACAGATGTAAGGAGTTAGGTTGTTAGAACTGATGTGCTTGAGCAACTTCTTAAAATCCTAGATGGATTGCAGTCAATGGTAGAATTTCTGTCAAATCCAGTGAATCCATAATCTTCTCCTCAGGCTGAGCATTCTAGTTTATCCACAGCAAAAGAATCAACTTGTTTGTTTGGTTTTGTCTTTTTTTTTAACTGGAAATAGTGCAAATGTCATCTAGTCATCTTGAAATTCACTTAGGGTAATGCGTTTTTCCTTTATCAGAAAATCAAAAGCATGTCATTAAGACTTGATGCCAAAGGCTAAATGACCACACCCTGAAACGACAACAGCTTTGAGAAACCAGGTTTTTGCATTTATAAGCACGTCTCCACCACTGGTCCATGAAAATAACACCAGCAGTGGTCTCTACCAATAGTTCCTCAAAACAAAAAGCAAGCCTGTAAGTCAGAGCTGAGTTTACCTACAACAGCATTGAATTAAGCCCAAGACCCATTAATACCAAATGAGAACTTTGGCTCAGCAACATATTTATAAATTAAACTGATTTTAAGTTATCTTTGCCTACCTTGAGCATACAAAGTAAGAACAGCCTGAATGGCTACATACACCCCAGAAAACTGGTATGTCTCAAACATAACCTGTAAAATGAAGGCAAAAATTAACATCCAAAAACAGGCCAAATACTTAAAAGAAATTTCATAGATGTTTAAAAACTGTATTTCTATAATTCTGCATTTTTGCTAATCAAAACCACTTTCCAAGAAACTTCAACGTGCAGATTCTACACAAACATTAGAAACCTACTTGCTTTACGGCAGTAAGTAGTATGTTCAGCTCTATACCTTACCTGTTCAAGCAAGACAAGCCATATGAAATATTCCACATCCGGTTAGCAACGAAAGTGAATACTTTCAAGAAACCCACACACCAATTTCTGCAGCTTTACTAAGCCCTTTTCCAAAGTGCTTAATGAGTGGGAGGCAGTACTTGTAGAACAGCCAAGTACTTCATTACTGAAGTGTGACTTGGGAATGAAATATTTGTTAAAGGTGTGTGCTCTAAATCTAATGCTGTTCAGGGTTGGTTTTTTTTTTTCTTCCTTCATTATCAAGCCCTACAGACTTTGAACAACTGCAGAGTATGCCAACTAAAGACCAGACTCCTGCACATACAGGTCTAGAATCAGCCCAGTCTCACAGGTTGTTCTCTGCATCTGAACTGCTTTGTTCCCTTCTTTAAAGTACAACTGACAACAGACTTCTAAAATTAGAGCAAAATCCACTAAAATTGAAACAGTACAGCTAGGGCTACTTGGTTACTATGTACAGAAAACCACAGGTTTGCAGAACTCCTACTGAAACACGAAAATTAGCTGCCTGTCTTGTAGACTAGGCTTCCCTAACCACTAAACTAGTTTCAGAGAAGAAACAGAGTCTAAGATTAAAGGATGCAGAGTTTATAGGATCTTGTCTTCTCTATAAACAAAAAAGGCCAAGTAAACAAATCATGCTGTACAGCTCCCCTCAAAATGCTCTACCAGGAAAAACAGATGAACTCTGATTATTCCAGCATACACAGAAGTTTTGCTTTTGCTATTCTGCAGCCCCCTGAGCACTACTGCAACTTCTAGGATTAGAAAATGATTAAATCCTAAGTACTCCCACAGCTCAAGTAAAAGATATCTAAATATTTTTAAAGAAAAAAAAGCTGATGCCTGACAATTTTAGAACTCTGAACTATTTAAAGAACTTCCTCTGTTAGAATTGCCTGATTTTAAACAGCTAGCCCATATCAAAAACCTCATCCTTGCAAAGTCAAGTTAATTATTTCACAGCTGTATCAAGCACACTGTAAAGCCCCGGGAAGACTGCTGCCACCTTTCTCAGGATATTTGCTGTGACCACATGGTATAGCAGAGTCAAGCAGAAAGGAACAGACAGGGGGCAAGCTGCAGAGCACCCTGCCATGAGAACATTATGCTTTGGGTTTTCATAAACCCCAAATGCAAACTGGGTAATATAAAAGGAAATTTAATACAGTAGTCAGGTGCATGGACTAAGGGCGAGCAAGACAATACATGGCTGGCTAGTAACTTCTGTAGTGGCCACAATTTAGCACATACTCAATACCTTCAGAAACAAAAAGCAGAAGTGTCTGCCAGAAAAGGAACAGCTGAAAGGGCAGCAACTCAAAAAGAGATCCCATCAGAGTAGTCATTGTCTAAACCCAGCACTATTCCAATGGATGAGTCTTTCAAACCATCTGAGTGCTTACAAAATGAAAGACTAATTTGAGAAAACTCTGAATTATCATCTTTATACAACAAAATTAATATTCAGATGGCATTAGTTACTGACTTCACATGTTGTACTCAATGATAGAAGCCACTGCAAAACCCTTTTACGACCTAGATACAGGCCTTTGGGGGGTTTTATTCTTTCTTTCAAGACATCTAGGTCTGCTCTATTTGATATGAAAAATGCCTTGACAAAGGTCTTATATGTTAAAAAATCTTAAGATGTAAATACTGAGCAGGATGTTCTCCTGAAACGATGACTCTTCTAATGACAGCAGCTTTTGAATTACCTACAAAGTGATGTTCTAATTGGGCACACAAAGGAAGAACTAAAAATTGGGAAAAAAGATGAAGAATGCTAGTTTAAGATTAGAAGTGACTGTGCTAGAGTACGTCTACAGCTATGTGATATGCCCCTAGACTCTGGCTGCTCCTGAGGGTACTACAGAATGAGAAAGCAGCAGGCAGCTAGAGACAAACAGCAAAAGCTCAGTTAAGCCAAGCAGCAACCAGTGTTTTGTACACATCACAAAAGAAACAGCATTTTTTAAATATATATTTTACAACGCAGCTGTCATGTGAACACTTGCTGCTGTTACCATGTAGCTGAGTCTGATGGAGAGATGGGGTGAGGAGAGAGAATTACTGGAAGTAGGATGAAGTACAGCATATATAATTATCTATCATCTTGATGTGGTCCAGATGACTAAGCTTCTCTTTCAAAATGCTACTGCACTGTATTGCAAAATGCAGAGACATTATTATGTTTACTGCAGGCTTTAGGAGAAAATCTTAATCCAGTCCTCTGCTTCACACTGGGCTAGCCTCCCTGAAAAGGAGGAGTCCATGTGTCAAAAATGGAAGAAAAAGGAATAGAAATATGTTGCAGTTAGAAACTAAATATTGCTAGTCCTCCTAACACTGTGACTCATTAAAAATATTAATAGAAACAATGAACTTCTGTTTAATTCACATTTAAATTTACAAAAATGGATTCTACTTCCCCCTAATCCTCTGGATCATGATTAAGTATCTACAATCTCTGTAGTGGTTTAAAAAAGCAAAGGAGGCAATGCAAATATTTTATCAGACTTCAGAAGCCATATAAGACTTTTCAATTTATGGTATGAAATTACTCAGTCCCAGAATAACTAAAAACCAGCCTTTTGTGTTTAGCTGGAAATCAGAAACAAGAACACTATTGTGGACAGCTGAAAAGCAAAGAAGCCTGAACAGAAAATTCAACCATCCCTGCTACATGGAAGCCACCCAGAGTAATCTGCTATGTCTCTCACACCACAGCTGACCAATATATAATAAACGGTATTACTAATGTTGCATTACATAATACTTAGGTAATAGGTCCCTAATGTCCACAATTGCTAAGAAATGCTGAATTTAGATTGTACAGCTTGATTTTTCTTTTCACTTAAGTTTTTCCAACTTTGCTATGCTTTGCTTCCTCTCGCGTCACTGAAAGGAAAGATTAGCGCAAATATATTCACTGCCACATTGCAGAAAGCGCTACTGTAGCTGTGACAACAAAAGGATTTTAAAGGAAAGGTCAGCAGGTAATAAGGTAAATTCTTATTAGACTAACCAACTTGTAATATACAAGCTTTCATACTCAAAGTTCTGATAAATGGATAAGGTTTCAAACTTAGAATCCACTTTTCCTGCCCTATCAGCTACTCCAACATCACATTAATGGCATTTTTGTTACGCTGAATACTTACATGAATTGAAAATACCTATGATGCTTAAGAAAAAAATAAAAACAAAATGGGAAACTAAACTTCTTCTCTTCAAACAACAGTTCTCTTCAAAACTCAGTCTTTGTTACACGGTACTAGAAATAAACAATACACATCTGACAACCTACATTAATGCAGGGTTCAGATGGAGCTTAGGTCACCCAAGGCAGCACTTTGAGATCAAGGATCCAAGAACCAGGCTTTCCTTCTTAGAAGGCTTTCAGTGAAATCCCTAGCATTAATCAAAGATTAGCGAATCGGGTGTCATCACACCTTTGTCTCTATCTCCAACCACACTGCTCCGTCCGGCAAGCATCATCTTGCTCAAGCCTCAGTCTCCTCTGAAGCATTACTGGTTTACAGAAGTCCAAGTCATTTAAAGCAATGAACATTCATCCAATAACTAGTACCTTGGACACGTGAAGATAAACCCACATTTCCAATTCTACGTTTTAATGGTGACATGGCTTGAGACAAAAAGACTGCTTATAGCTTTTGAATGAGATCAAGACTATGGCTGAGGACGAGTTTTGGTTATAAAACAGGAGAACTGCTTTGCCTCAGATAGTTACTAGGTGTTCCAAGAAGTTAAAATCTCTTAGCGACGCTTCAATGACAGTATGTATCAGTCTTTACTAGACAGACATACCTCCACAATCTTCTCCCTATTTTTAGTTGGATTCATGGGAGGTTCTGTGAGCAGTATTTTACAATTTTTTGTGTCAATATTAAGTTTTTCTGGTCCAAATGTATAATCCCAGAGGTGTTTCATGTCATCCCAGTTCCTAACGATGCCATTCTCCATTGGATAATTCACTTCCAGCATTGAGCGTAATTCACTTGCTTCATCACCAACCATGAGATCCTGTAAAATTTTAATACAGAAACATGTCAGTGCTTGCAAAGTTTCACAAACACCAAAATCCTCAAGACAGACAGTGAATTGCTCCAGCCTGTGTCCAACTGTGTTCTTAAACAATATCCACATTTCAGAATCATTTACTTAGGAGAAAAGTAGAATGTATTTCATGTAATATTTAAATTTGGTTGTTACCCATCCCAAATCTTTTCCAAAATAAACTTTGTTGATTCCATTCTCCAATTAACCTGAAACAAACCTACAAACCCTGCCACAGCTAGATACCACAAAGAGCTTTCCAAGTACAGTGTTTCTCCATTGACACCTCCAAAATTCTTTTATCAAATTCTAATTTCAAAAGGCTGAGATGCAAAATAGCACATAAGGGTAGTAGGTGGGATTGGCAGAATATTTTTCCATGCATGTTGCAAATTTCTGTGCACAATACCAAAAAAGGAATAATGAGTGGTGAATAAGCATACCGAACAGTAGCAAAAGCAAGTAAGAGATTAGAAATTCCACACTAGACATTAAAAGAAACAATGGTTTACATATTGCCTGTATCAGTAGGGTGTGAAGAGACACATCTAAATATAAAATGTACCCTCGTCTCTGTTCCATGCCGAAAGTCCCAAGCCGAAATCCCCAGTAAGGCATTCTTACACAAATACAACCAACTAATGCATAGTTTGTATAGTCATTTCACACTGATTAAGCAATCTGTTTATTAAAGTTAGTTATGCAAACATTGCACATTCAAATTAGTAGCATCATATCTTCTCCTTTCCCACGTATTTCCCAGAGGAAGCATGCAGAGTAACATCTTATCTTTGCTCCCTATTATATCTCATACTTTTCAAAAGAAGCCTCAACTGACTTGCTCTTATTTAGCCTATAAGAACATATTTCTAGGTACCAATAGCACTGTTTCCATGCTAGTATTACAGTAATTTAACTGCAAAAAAAAACCAGCTGCTTCATACAAAAATATGCCACCGTAGTTTGCAGTTACTGTGGCACAGAAAACTTTGAAGTGAGAGTTACTCAATGCTCAGAAAAAAGATGTACAATGAAAAATCCAGCGTCTGGTTTATAATGCCTTTATTCGAACCAACCTAAACAGATACTGTTGACTATAAAAAGGGAAGTAAATTGAAAATAATTTAAATCAAAACACCCCTCTTCCACTCCCTCTCCCTGTTAAGGCCTTTTATTTCTTCTCCCTTGCATGACAGATCACACCTCAGTTCTCTACTGTACAGAAGACAAAAGTCAAGACTAACACTAAGTCAAACATCCTCTACCAAAACTGTACTATGAAAACTCCACCATGCAGCCACCTTACTCCTGAGAATTTAAGATGACAGAAACTCCATCGGTTAGAAGAATCAGAAGCCTTTTTTGTGCATTGTTCTTTGAAGCTCTATGCTACCAAACAGGACAGCCCAGGAAAGGCCCCCATTCAAACGCGCAATGAAAGTTGCACAAAACTTTCAGTCCTTTTAAAACAAAAAGGGCAAAACAATTGTTCTCAAGAGCACGCTAACAAACAAGGCACTTGGCAGGTGAAGAGGAAGAAGGACAGCACAACTGAATTTGCAAAGAGGAACCAGTATCATGACATCCAATGTTTCCACCACTTTGGTACTCAGTAATATTTGTCTCACCGACATCTAAAAGGTTTTTCAAGCTCTTGGTTTGCAGCGTTAAACACATCAATTTCTAGTGTTGAAGATGCTGAGCTCATGTTGAGCTTTAAAAGTTATTCTTATGTCTTGCAAAACTACAGGTTATGTAGCATTTAGAAGCAATACATAAAATACTCTCATGAATTAGTTGCTAGTAAACCAAAGCAATGAACAAGGTCCAAAATAAGTGTGTATTCAAATGTAAAATGTAGGACAAGACAAAACAATGAATAGCACCAAAAAAATAACATAACAGCTACTAGGTCCCATCAAGCAAAAATGGTAAACAAGCAGCACAGGGGCACCTCACTTACCATCATTTTGTTATTCTACTTCAACAGGTCAAGAAAGGTGTAGAAAGAAGGTAGAAGCAAGAAAGTCAGAAAAGGCCTAAATGAAATTCTCAAATTATTTTAAATACACAGTAGAAATAGGCTGAAAAGAGATGCACGTACAGCAGGAAATGATCTGAGTTAGTTTAGTTAGGGCCAAGCTAACGTTCTCAGGATCTCGGATTAAAACGTCTCTTTAAAGGAAGCTATTGCTACATCTCACTGCCATGTCATGTTTATGCATCTTACGTTGCAACCAGGATCAGTTTATCTACCTCTTTCTCATAAACAGGATTCTGTGCATAAATATTCTGTTACACTGGAGTTTTACCCTAGGTAAGGCATTTATACAAACTAGACAAGACTCTGCACAAGGCATTTGAGCATAACTAGCTCTGACAAACGCTGAATTTAAGTTTTGTTTTAAATATTCCGCTTCAAATACCCAAGAACTGTAAACTAGAACATAAAAGTATTCATTTACAAGCAGACTAATCTGTTCATATATCATGGAACAAATACCCCAAAAGAATCAAATATGAGATATTTACTTAAATTATGGTATCTACTATCAGAATGGAAATCAGCAATCATGAAGTGCAGTAGCAAGAGCAGTGCCTCAAAGCTCCTTCCCTATGGCAAGCTATGGAGATAGGAAGACGGGATAGTTAGAGCAGCCGGGAAGCACTATGAGAAATTTGAAGTGTATCTATACAAACACTGTCCAAAATGATACTAAAGCCATCTTCACCATCGAGATTTTTCCTCCTTTGATTAAATTCACTTTGAGCCACCTAAACTGTCCAAAGCCATAGGATAACTATCAGTGTCATTAAGGCAAATCTACTTCCTCTGCAAATTGTGTCAGAGGAAAAGTGCGTGGGTTCTGGCAGCTGCCTTTGGACAGGCAGTGCCAAAGAGGCTGGTCAAGAGCGAGGCCCTTTTCCTCACTTCAAATCCAGAGAACGACCTTCTCCAGACTGTCTTTGACAGAAACTGAGCAGAACTGTAGGACATGGACTATGGCTTAGCAGGTCTATCTGCCCCAAAATTCTAATTGTTTTAACTAGTCAAAGCTACTCATCAGTCCTGCCCTCCCAAGAAGGTTATTAACTCCCAAACCTGCTGCAAAGATTAGTAAGTCAGTAAAAATTAAGAGCGGCATCTATGCTTCTGGTTTTAGAGTTTTAAGGTTGCAATTTTAAGCAAAATAATCCCAGTAATAACTGAATTTTTGTGCTTAAATCCCTAACTGAGGACTTTGAGTAGGAGGAAAAAGCTGTATCTCTGTTGCTGGCTGAAATGAGAATCCAGAAGGAAAACATGGACAAAGCAACTTGAAATCAGTAACTCAATAGATGGATGATAACCAGTTCTGATCAGCTTCCAGACTCTCTTTTCACAGAGTTTCTGAATTTCACAGGAATGACAGCTTCTCTGAATAGTTTTGAAAAGTTAAACAGATCATCTTCTTGCCAGTTTCCTTCACTCACTTTTGAACTTATCCCGTAAGAACGCGCAGTGAATAGCTAGAATTAAATTTTGGCATAAAACTCATGTGCAAGAATCTCAAAAAAACCCAGCACTCACACTTAAGTCTTCCTACTGTATTATCCTACAGGGATACCCAACAGGGATATCCTACAGGGATACTTCACTGTTTCTTTAAAGAGTGACAAGCTATTAGAGGCAGATGCTATAAAACTTCTGGGAAGATTCTAGGCAGAGTTTATACTCTCCAAAATACAGCCACGTGACCCATGCTGAAGCAGAAGATGGGCAATGCAAGCGGAATTCTAGTTTACTGGTTCTTTTGTGCTCATCTCATAGCAATTAATCGCTTCTTTCCAATTCAACACTGCAATCTGTAATGATATCAAACTAAGTTATCAGATAATCAGAGGATACCAAAACTGGCAGGACAGGCTGTATCGGATCATCTGGAAAGTATGACTTCAACAATGAGATTTCATACAACAGAATTTTTCTTGGACTTAAGACTCATAAATCACTGCGTAACTTTCATAAAACTTTACCAGGACCTCTTTGAAGAAATTGTTACGTTCAAGTAGATATCTGAAGAAACACCTCTCCTCAAGTCTTGCAAGAGAAAGGAAGATGTTTTCCCTCTCCTTATGAAAACTCCTGTCTACTGTGAAAGGGGAAGATCTCCATCCTTTCAACCAAATTGTCCTAGCTGACACAAGGTGAGCAGTGTTGCAATATTGGGGGGGAAGCGCATTTTGGAAAGGTCTGATGGCCATACTAGGAGGTCAAGAGGATGAAAGACTTCTGCTGATATTACTAACTTTTTACAGGCAGCAGCAGAAATCAGCTAACTGAAGTTCTCCCTGTCACCCACAGGGTTCTGAAAATAAGGAACAAGACTGAGCAGGTTGTTTTTTTTTCCCTTTTACTAAGCTGCTGCTCAGAATCAACAAGGAAAGCAAAATTGAAAGCCTGTATATGTGTGGTTCTACTTGACCTTCACTGGCCTTCACTTAAGTGAGGGCTTTTACAGTTCTGCATTGCCTCCTGCTTCTCCCTCAAGTTCCTGCTTCTGCCTTGCTCTCAAACTGGAGCTTGCACAACCATCCAGTGAGGCAGTCAAAACTCTACCTGACAAAGAAATCACACTTTTTCAGCTGGACCAGCTCACTAAAGTGTGTCACCACATGACTGCACAAGCAGTACAACCAGCACAAGGTGATAATGTGTGGCTAGAGGCAAGGAGGGAGGACATGACCACACCAGGGCCAAGACATTTACTGAAGCTTGTACTGCAGAAGCAACCTCTAGCATCTGAAGTGTTACTCTGTAATTATAAAATAAAGTGAGAAATGATAGCTCCCCAGGCTTCAGAAAGAGATTCTCAAACAGTGGCGTGTTCCCCCATTCCAAGCTTGGAATAACGGCCCAAGACCAAGTAGCCTGAACACAGCTTCGCCATCTCTAACTGGTGTGGAGTACCTACGTCTATCAAGACCAAAAAGAAAAGAAAACAAAAACAATAGAAACAATGAAATGCAAATACAACCAAGGTTAAACATCTCACACAAGATCACAGATGATCAACTGTGAGTAGAAAGCAAACACTATAGATAGACTTGGAAGCTCCAGCAGTTCTTCAGCATTGTCTCAGAATCCCACAGTACAGCTCGGTGACAAACATCAACCACTACTGTCTGATTTCTGCCTTCTAATCTTGACATCATTAACATATTGGTATTTGAAGCCCCTTTTTGCCCAGAACCACATGAGCCCTACCTGCTGCCTCCTCAGTTGTACTATCTGAAGGCCTCCAGTGCTTTAGATTACCCTCTTAGTAACTTTGTAGTTTGTGACTGGCTAAAACCGAATACAGAAATAAATAAAGAAATACTGAAACAGCATAAAGGGGAATTAAGGAAAAAGCATTTCCAAACATTACATAAGTCAAAAGCTGCCCTAAATATTTTTATCTGTCAGAAAGGAATAATAATGAAAAAAATTTACCTTGATTTCAATGTTTCCCACTTTAGCAGTTGATCTTATAATGGGTCTTCCAACCAAAGCTGGAAAAATGTGCTCCGGAAAATTTGAGCCTGCATAGCCACATTTCACAAACTGAAAAGGAATAAATAATTTCATTAGAACATGCATTACCTGTTTACCAATAGAAACATGGTTTGAGGTAAAAAAAAACAAAAGCCCAAATTTAAGAGCATGTGTCCCACTGGAAACCAATTGGATTTATATATTTTCAAATCAATTTTACACATTTCAGATTTGTAGATCTGTAAAACTGAATTAAAGTATTTTCCAGAATGTTTTCTGAAGCAGGCTGTCAGATTTTTGAGAAATAATATTAAAACAACTAAGTACGTCGAGAGGTGTAAAAGAGTCCAGTGTTTGAATTTGGATTTCCTGCCACTCTATACAAAAATTCTCTAGCAACCTAAACCCCATCATTTTGTAATGGATCACCTTATAATGAGTACTCAACGAGACCAAATTAAATCACATCTCCAATTAGAGCACACAGTAGCATAACAAATTACACATCAGGAAAAAAACAATAGCCTTGTGAATTCAGGTGTTACACCGTTATAAAAAGTGTTTAACAGTGAAGCAGCAGATAGTCTGTGCAATTCAAATAGATTTCTCAGAGTTTCATAATTCTCAGAGTTCTTTTAAGGATAAAAATATGACTTTGCAGTAAGCACTTCTAAAACAAACAGCAAAACCGAAAACTCAGCTGACAGTAGTTCACACCAAAGGGGATACTCTTAAAGAGCTTTTGTTATGCAAATACATATGAAAGGAAGGTTTATATCACTGGGTCCCAAGGTAGTATATACGCTGAGAAAACAGTGAGGATTAACCGAGTATTAAAAAATAAAAAAATTACAAAAAAATTAGAGTCACCAGAGGAAGTTCAGTTGTACAACAAGAACTTTAAATGTGCCAGTGAGAAGTTAGAATTTTAGCTTATGGGGATCAGCAAATCATGCTCTTTGAACATCCTGCATGTTCATATATCATGCTCTGCTGTTCTGCCTGCAGTTCATACAGAGCAGACTTCTCTTTTTTTTGATGCATACTTACCATACTGCGCTCCATCAGCATGCCAGAACAACACCCCGCAGTCTCACACTAAACATTACACGTTTTCATCTGCAAAAACTACTCAACCACCTAGGTGTAACAGCAGTAACACAGCATCACGGGATCATTCAGGGCAGAGGGAGCCTCAGGAGCTCTCTCATTCAACGTTGGGCTCAAAGCAGTCAACGCTGAATTCAGACCAGGTCGCTCAGGGCTTTGACCCGTTGGGTGTTGGAAGCCTCCAAGGACAGACAGTTCACAGCGTCCCCGGGACCCTGCCCCACAGCTTAATTATCCATTTCAGGTTGTATTAAAAGCCATCTGCTAGAATTTCCGAAACCTTCACTCAGTTTTCTGAAGTCTGACGACTGCCACTGAAACAATTATCACAGCAAAGAGTACAGCTAATTGCAGCTGAGGAGAATTCTACCATCACGGTAACAGTAACATGAAAAGTCACCTTCTGTTGCTATAAATTATTTGCCTTACTGCAATAAAAAGGGCACCTGCTTTGGAAAGAAATTTATATATAAAGCCAGTTACGGAAAAAGCCAAGAGATATTTTAATTAAATCTGGGCTACAGGGAAAGAACGGAATTTTTTTTTGTGACTAATTTCCTTCACCCATTCAGTGCTTGCTGTCTCCAAAGGCAGAGCTGTTTGAAATACCTGGGGAATGACACTGTGTACACAACTCATCTTGCTCATTCTACTTCAATCCCTGTTCTCTGAAAAGGCAAGTACTTATCAACTCTTTTGCTTATATTAAGGTCAGAAGTACCTAGGAGTTACACAGATCTTATCTGTGTATTCAAGAATGCAGTGCTGCTATGAGAAAGCAAAGAGTAGCCACAAGCATTTTTGGATCATGCTACCTGAACGCACCAGAAGACTCTACCAGAAGTTTTATACCAGAGGAAACATGAGACTGAGCTGGGCCCAAATAATGGTGTCCAAATTCTTAAAAAAATAAAGCTCCCTTTCAGCCTTAGCAAATTACTGCATCCAGGGCAATCACACAATTTTTGTTGCAACCACAGTATTTAGGTATGCGGGTTATAAATTTCATTGTGCAGGACCTGGTCAAGCTAGAAGGAAGTTCTACAAAACAGCCCATACAATCTCATCCTCCAGCATAGCTCATACACTCTTACACCCATCTATTTGCTTACAGCTTTTCCTCCTTTTCTTTCCCCCCCGGCACGAAGAAAATTCCCTACCAGTCATCACCAACCGTGTTGTTAACAGAGGTAACAGGACCAGTAACATCTGAATGGATCTTTACAACTGAAGCTACTGGAGCAGCCCTCAAGAAGCTCTACTACCCACACTTTTAATTCCTGCCAACTGGGCAAATAAACCCTGAGGTTTACATAGCAACCACTGAGATACGCAACCAGAACGACTACTGCACAAAAACCAGTAAGTGCCTCTTGGCCGACCTTAAAAACACCTCTCAAAATCACATACAACCATGCTGACCTAGAAAATGCCAACCTACAAAAATACTATTCTAAGTTCTCACTATTTGACCTGTAATAGTCACTTCCAGTCCCCTTCTGTGTTAAAGCCTCGACACGCTTTCCTGGGTAGTTAACAATGTTGGCAATTAATAAATCCTAGATTTTAAAAGCAGGCTGGCATTTCTCCAACCAGCCTAAAACACAATCAAACCCAGATTTAATCTATGTAGACTACAATGAGCGAGATTAAACTTGGACGTTCACAGTCTGTTCCCTACCTCTTTCAGACTGGAACAGAGTGCCTTAAAAATGACATTTTTACAAACTTTGGTAAACTTGACAGTAGATAGACGGGCAAAATTTTAACTCAGTCTCTTCCCCTTCAAATCTGAATTTTTTTCCCCCCAGACTACACGAAAATTTAGTGAAGACGAGACAAGTCAGCCTTGTACATCAGCTTCCCCATCAAGGAGAGCATTCCCACTGAAGTATTCTTCCTGACACAATACTGAATATTCAGCAGGTTCAGTACCGTTCATGATGACGTAACTTTGGATCTTATAGCCGAAGAACCAGACTTGGTAAAACTACCAACAGGTAAATTCACCTAAGAAACACGGATGTATATAATAACATATCCTGGACTGAATTTTTTGAAGAAGTGCAAGAAACATAAGATGCTTCTCCCTCCCGTCCCTTACAACAGATGCTCCAAAATCTCCAAGTAAATGTTATGAACTGCAGTAGTTTGGAACATAATCAGCTTCTCTTTTCTAGTGCCAGACATTAAATACTCTGTTCCTGTCATTCTCAATTTGAAACTCTCAAATTTAAGCACAGTGGGCTCGTTTCTCTTCCATTTCTTACTCTGCACACTCCTTGGAACAACGACAGTGTAACTTCAGTACAATGCTCAGTACACGCCATGTCTCGAACAATAACACCAACACTCAGTGAATTTACAGATCTCTGTAAGGAAGCCAAGAGTTCATCATCATTCATTTTTGCAAGCTATACATTTGCTACACATTCAAAGTATTTTAAGAACAGCTACTTAGCTTGCCTGTGTGCAAGACCACGTATGTAAGAAGTTTTACCATATATAGTTTCTTCTCCGTTTCACTGTGGTTTATACTGACTCTTTCACTTCCTACTGAGTCACCAAACAGTAAGAACTTGTATGTATAAGTATTCTTTCAAACAAGAAGAATGAGGAAGCTCACAAACAGGTCACGTGACAAGTTTTAAAATGAATACTAATATTCTTACCGGGTCTCCGTGCTCAATTCTTTCAATTGATGCAACTCTCAAACAAAAATCCTAAACACAATTACAGCAGTTTTACAGGCCACTAAGTAACTTACTGTTTGTCCTATACCAGTAAGAACATCCATCTCTCACGCTTTAGACCTTTAAGATGCCATTGCCTGCCTCTCTGCTACACTATGTGTTGCAAGAACTTCCTTCTAGTCACCTCTTCCTCAAAGACTGGTTGCAACCAACTTCAACATTAGAAGTCCTACTTCAGCACAACAAGAACAGTGAATTTCAAAGATAAGCCTAAGGTTAAAATTGCATCTGATTTTTCTGAGGATATTTTCCATTTTTGTCTAACACTTCTGGCACCGGGCAAGAGATTTCATTTCAATCATGCTTTTAAGTATGACATCACAGTGTATCAGAAAGCATTCTGACATAAAGCAGCTCTTCTTTGCCACACAGAAAAAATATTATTATAAAAATACTGGTTTGACAGTATAGGACTACTCGATAATCTCGACACGCAGTTGAGGCTCAAAAGATTTACTGAATGGAATTTTCTTCCAGTTTAATTATCCCAATTCTAACTGAATCATCCCAATTCAAGCTAAATATTTTGAGTTTACTGATTTAGTAATTATTTCTTGATACTTTGCTCTCCCACACAATGAACTCTGTGGCCAGGGTACTTCCAGGCGCACGTTTTCCTGCTTAGAGGCCGAGCACGACCCACAGCAACACAAGCTGAAGTGACACAGGCCCCTCCTCTCGGCACTATAAAGGCACCTTCCAGTGTTATAGTTATTTATATCCTGCTGGTACAACTCATGGAGAAAAAAAACATATAATTCCGAGATGTCTCTTGACGTAAAAGCACACGCAGATATGTTACACCATACAAAATCTGTGCTGCGCACCCAACTTGGGAAATTGGGTAAAAATAATGGTTTCTGCCCCATGCCTCACACCTTACTGAGACCGGCCACGGCACAACACTGCTGTCACTATCAATATACTAAATATATTACAACTCAATGATTTATTGCTATGTGAAGGACCACGCTATAAAGATGAAGCTCTAAAATTTTTTTTAGCTATCGGCCTGACAGTAAGAGCATTAAACAATGAAAAAAACACAACAGAAAATCTTCCACATTCCTTTGTAAGAAGAAAATGGTAAAAACCTTCTTTCGTTTTTCTAAATGATAGCATAAAAAGTGCCCAACAGCTCCATACCCCAGCCCTGTTAAAGATAATTTTTGCTATAGGAGGAAAAACGAGAAGACATCAAAACTATCAAACCCCTGTCAAATATGACGTTCTTCTTCCTGAACCATTCTAACCATTTCAGATGCTAAACAGAAACCCTCTAATTCAGGACGCTGAACGACATCCTTTGTCTCAACTCTTCCCTGCGGCTTTAAAAAAAATATAAAATCTTCTTTATTGCAAGTGTTTATAATTTTTTTCTTTTTTTTTGCCATTCAAGAGATCTTTAACACGCTGTCAGCTTTGTTAACTCTCCACATAATATTTCTTTACTGGGGGGAAAACCCTGCATTGCTCAACAAAATCACCGAGGGGAAATATCCACCTACAGCATCTTATCTTTTTGCTTTAAACCGGTATCTTTTTCACTTCCTGTCGAGGTGCCTCAAAACCTTCGCACCACTGACAAAAGGATGAATTTCTAGTGGGTGCTCGCACGCTCACAGAGCGCAGAAAAAAAATGAAAGGATGGGGAGAAAACCTCTGGGCCTCTCGATTGAAAATCGCCAGTTTGGAGTATGTTGCAGATCAGGAAGGTATTAAAGAAAGGATGCCACTCCATTTTGACCAGCAGCTGCGAAAAAACCCCACCGTTTCCCTAAAACTAAGACTCCTGCGTACAGAGGATGCATCCCTGGTTGCTCAATGTATAACGCACTCATTCAGAATTAAAAGAAAAAATAATGTATTTTTGGTTAAGCGCTCGTTGCTAC